TTATTTTTATATGTATAAAATTTTCTCTTACAAATTAAAATTATAAATACTATGTAAATTAAATTCTTTTGCATATAAAATATCTTTTTCTTACTGGTAACAAAGCTTTTTCCAATTGATTTTTTTACTAATCTTTCGACAATTTTCCTGAAATTTTTTTTCTTTTTTTCTTAAAAAGGAAAAAATATCTTTTTTTTTTTTTTTTTTTTTTTTTTTTTTTATTTACGTATGCATAACCAATACATATTCTTCATATAGCTAGTCCTTTTTATTAGCAAAAAGGTTAATAAAGCCTTTTATTAACCAAATATATACTAGTCATGCAAGCATTGGATAAAAAAAAAAAAAAATTAGTTATTTCTTTTGTTTTTTTTTTTTTTTTTTTTTTTTTTNTTTTTTTTTTTTTTTTTTTTTTTTTTTTTTTTTTTTGTAAATTCTAAAACGCTTAAAAGAAATATATTTATTTTTTTTGGAAAATTGTTGTATTGTTGAAAAATTAAAAAAAGAATAGTTAGTGACTAAAAAGTTTCCTGTAGTATATTTTGTTTAAATTTATATAAGAATTTCTATATTAATAATAATAAAGTTTTCATATTTCGTAGTATTTATATAATTCAATTTTTATTCTATTGATTGCTTATGCTTGTTTATTTGAAGGCAGTGAATTTGAATTGTTAATGATTACTCATTATAAATAAAATATATGTAATAAAAATAAATAATGAAGATTTAAGTTTTTAATGAAAAGATTGGACTTTTATTAAAGTAAATAGATTTCTTTGGAAAAAAATAAATACTAAAATAATTAGACATAATAAATACAATTTACTGGTTTACAGTATTAAAAAAAAATTTAAGTTAATTATATTAGTATAGAAAAATTTGCATGCTATTTATTAATCTGTTTGTTCAACACTCTAAAAAAATCATCGAATAAGCAATTAGTAAATTACTAACATACATATATAATATATTTTAATTTATTTGTGTAAGAAAAAAGAAAGAATATATATAATTAAAATAAAGAACAATAAAAGCTAACGTATATGTTGAAGAATATTCTACAACAAAAAAATAATAATGATAAATATAATATTTTGTTTTAAATATAAAAATATAAATATATAGATATAAATTTAACACAATTAAGAAGGATTTTCATATTAATGGAATGCATGCATTCATTATACAATGTATTACATAATACATATATCTCAAGATATATTTATTTTTATATAAAGCTACGAAAGGTTCTTTATATAATTTCCTAACTGAAAGAGTAATGATTACACATATATATATTTCGTTTTATTAAAGAATAAAGAAAAAATATTTATATATTTTTAAGATTCAGTAGCATAATGTAGATAGAAGTAAATATAATAATAAAAACTAGGGAAATTTTTTTTTATCTTAGTTTCATGTCTTATAAGTAGCATAACAAATGAATGAAAATAAAATTGATGAAAAGTAAAAATTTTCATAAAAATAACATATTACAAATGGTTCTTTATTATATTTGTAGATTTATAGACATAATACTATTATAGATGATAAAAAACATAAAAAATTAATTTATTTTAGATTATACTATTAGAAAGGTTAAAAATTACATAAATTTTATTGAATTAAAAAAAAAACAAAAGGAAAAAAATATATATCTTAAAAATTGTTGCACCTATTTTTACTAAACCTATTTATATTTATTACATTTCACTTGATTTTTAACATAACTATCATAATTAGAATTTAAGTTAAAATTATTATATATGTAATCTATATAATTTAATAAATATATTATAAATTTTTTTTTTAATGATAGTTTATAAGAAATACTATCTATAATAATTTTTACATTTGTTAAAATTATTGTCATTATAACTTAAAATTCATTATATTTAAAAATATTTTTTTCATAATTGCTATTGTTGCTTTTTAACATATTTATGTAGAAACTTTTAGTAAAATATGTACACATATTTTTGCTTTAATTATATATCATTAAGTTATAAAAATGATTACTTCAGTGTATTGTTTATTTTTATTGAGATTTATATATTATTATTACATAAATTATAAAAATTAATATAATTTTTATATTTATTTAAATTCTTTTTTTTTTTTCAGATTTTTATTGTCATATATTTCAAATTATTTACCTGAATAAGACATTTCACACCTAGCTGTGAATTTATAATTTAAAATGCATTTCATAATTTCTAAAATTTAATTCCTCCAATAATAAATTGTTATGTAAGAAATTGAATCATAATTAAAATAAATTCAAATTTATGTAAATTACATTTTTATTATTGTTTTCATTAAAACTACCATTATATCCATAAACGTAAATAAGATTATGATACCTTGTTTTTATTTTTTTCAATATTTATTGCTATATATCATAAATTTTTTATCAAAAATATTTTAGTGGTTGTATGTTAAAATTGTCTATGTTAATAACATTTTATAACTATGATGTATATCCATTATATTAATTACATATTATTTATAAACATCCTGCATTAATATTAAATCAATTTATGTATCTTACGATATAAATGGTCATTATGCCAGTCACTTTTAGAATTGATACAAATTAAATTACATAATTTATTAATATAAAAAACATTAAACAATTGTAATATTTGATAATCAAGATATTCACCAAAATAATATGTTTATCATTACATTTATTTTTACCTTTATTATCATTTAAAAAAAAAAGAATTGTAATTTTTTTTTTTAAATTTTTTTTTATATCTTTGAATCTTTAATTCATTCAGAATAAACATAATTATTTTTAAATTAATACATTAATATTAAATAAATTAATTTTCTATAATTGTAGTTTATTTTTATCATTTATTTAGAAATTTCACACAATTTTTTCTATTACAGAAATAATTTCGATATTTCAGTAAAAAAACAAGCTTTATAAAAAAAGTATATCTTATTAATATTTTTAATTTCCAAAAAAAAAAAATTTTTTTTTTTTAGTTAATATTCTTAAATTCTTTATATTTATGCTATATTATTTATTACATTCAGTATAAAAAAATTAAAAAGAATAATTATAATAAATTATTAATCATTTACATAAGCTAATGCAAAATTATACAATAATATTAAAAAAATAAAATGAAATAATCATTGCTCAAGAAATATTTTAAAACAAAGTTCTCTTTCTCTCTTTTTCTCTCTCTTTCTCTCTCTCTCTCTCTCACTATATATATATATGGATAAAATAAAATTATAAATGTTTAATTAAAAGTAATATTTACACATATTATATATTATATTATATTATATTTTTTATCCTTAAGGAATAATAATTCAAACGAAAAATATATAAATACAAGCATTTAATTACAAAAAATAAAAATAAAAAACATGAAAGTAAGATAAATGTTATTAGTATGTAAGTAAAATAGATGAATAGTTATGTAAATGTATATTAAAATAAAAATAATACTATTAAAACTGTTATACAAAAATATAAATATGTAAATATATAAAATAAAAGCGAACAACAATTACATATAGAAAATGAGAAATAATATGCATAGAAGATTCAAGGAATGAAGTTTATGCAATTTAAAATTGTAATCTTTTTTTTATTCTTTACTTTTTTTATTTAGTTTTACAGCATACTACAATTGACATTTTATTTTATTAAATATGAAATGTATAAATCATATGTTTAGATAAAAAATTTATTTGAAATTACTTCTAAAAATATGCTTCCTTTATTAACGAAAAAAAATAAAAAAAAAATTAATTTTTTAAGATATACCAATTTGAGATTCATCAAAAATTAAAAGATCATAATGAAAAACATAACTTTCTTTTTTGAATACAGTATAATAATACACTTCCTACAAGTGCACTTTATATTTAACTAATCCTTTTTTATTATATTTAATTTTATTATATCTAATAAGATTACGTTAAAAATGGTAAAAGAGCAAATAAAATCCATTATTATAAAATAATAAAAATTACTTATAGGAGGAAACAAAAAAGACTAAAGTTTTTAAAGTAAGCATTTGAATAATAAAACAATATAAAAGAAAAAAAAATTAAATAACCATAAAGAAAAAACTTTTAGTATATATAATTATTACATAAATATAAAAAAAAAACTTAAAAATGTCATCAAAAAAAAAAAAAAAAAAAATAATAATAATGTATTTATAGAATATGTATCTATTCTGTTGTGATATTTATTTTTCGTTATTACCATAATATTCTAATGTTTAATTTAAATTAACTTCACATTTTTTATTGAATTAGTAATAATTGTCATAATAAATTAAACGAGGATAAAATTGCATGTTTTGAATAAATAATTTTTAAAAAAAGAAAAATAAATAAAAAAATATATAAAAATAAAAAAAAAAATTTTTAAAGCCTTATATAATTGTATCTTAATATAAACTATTCTAAAAATATTTTAAGTAAAAAAAGAATATAACATTTTTTTTTTGCATATCTAAATAATTTTTTATATTATTCTCTTTTAATTTAAATAAAAAAATTAAATAGAAAAATGAAAAGGAATATTTTTTTTTGTAAGTATAAAAGATTAACTAAAAATTTATTAGTTTTTGATTATTTAAACATTATTTCTATTATGAAAAATATAATTAAAAATATATAATAAATAAGAGGTTATAGTATGTAATTAATAATTTTAGGATTTAGGATGTGGGATTTAGAATTTTAAATTTAAAATTTTTATGTTGTAGTTATAAACTTAGCTTTTAATAGACATTTCTGCGTTAAAATTTAAAAAAAAATTTTAAAACTAATTTTTTTCTCAAAAATCATATCGTTTTAAATTATTTGTTAATTTCTAATTTATATTTCCATATTTTTTGTTTTTAACATATATTATCCTTACTGAAAAAAAAGGGAAATATTTTAAAATTCATTAAAAAAAAATATTAGAAATAATTTCTCATATTTTTTTTTTTACATTTTTAAAGATACCAAAAATGGATCTTAATCTTAGTGATGCTATTAGTATTAATTCTAATGAGAGTCTAAATGAGGGAGATTCAACTGTAGGTTTCGCTCATAGGGCAATTAAAGATGCAACTGTTTCAATACCAGAAAATCCATTATATGCTGATTTGAATTTACGTGATGCCATTCAAAATCCATCTGAAGATATCAATTTGGATTCAGCTACATCAATAAATCTTCTTCATAAAAAGTCGTTAAGTATTTTTCAGTTAGTTATCATTATTATTTTTTTCCTTCGTTTTAAGGTAAAATAAAGTTTATAATTATAAATTTTATATATATAATAAAAACAAAATTTTAAATCATTTGTAATAATTTATAGAGAGCTTTCTCTCCTAAATTGGAAGCTAAGCATAAAGAGAGAGTTAAGCTGCAGAATAAAAGGGATAATAGGGATAAAAAGATGAAAGGTGATTGGGAAAAGATGGAGAAAAAATGGAATGAAAGGAAACAAAAAGAAAATAGAGAAAAAGAAAGAGAAAATGATTCTGAAGATAAATCCTTGAAAATTTTGAATTCTTCGTGCGCAAGTGGAAAAAAAATTGAGTCCTTGAATGAAAAACAATACGATATTTATTTGAATGAACCATGTACAAGACAAGCATGTAATAAAACTGTTAAAAAAAAGGAAAAAAATAATATGGCTTTGGATAATAAAGGAGAAAAATCGAAAGGAAAATCCTCCAATAAACTAGATTCAGAACTTGAACTTGAAAAAAAGAGAAGAGAAGAGCTCTTTCGTCAAGTGGTTGAATTAGATGAGAAATGGAAAAAATATGAAGAGCATTGTATAATGATGAATGAATGGGAAAAAGAAGAAAGAAAAAAATTAGAAGAAAAAAGAAGAGAAAGAAGGGAAAAACACGAAAAAGAATTACTAATAGAATATGAAGAGCGGAAAAGGAGCATGATAGAAAAAAATAAAGAGTGGGAAAAGATAATACAAAAAGAAAAGAAAGAGTGGAAAAAGAGAATACTAAAAGAAAAAGAAAAAATGAAAGAGTGTGAAAAGAAAATGCTAAAAGAAAAAAAAGAAATGGAAATGTGGGAAAAGGGAGTTCTAACAGAAAAGGAAGTATGGGAAAAGAGAACGCTAAAAGAAAAGCAAGAGTGTGATAAGAGTATGCTGAAACAATTGGAAGAGTGGGAAAAGCGAATTCTAAAAAAAGGCGAAGATTGGGAAAAGAGAATGTTAATAGAAAAAGAAAAGTTGGAAAAGAAAATGCTAAAAAATAAGGAAGAGGGAGAAAAGAAAATGCTAAAAGAAAAGGAAGAGTGGGAAAAGATAATGCTAAAAGAAAAGGAAGAGTGGGAAAAGATAATGCTAAAAGAAAAGGAAAAGTTGGAAAAGAGCATAATGGAAAAAAATGAAAAGTGGAAAACAGAAGAAAATATGAAAGTTAATGAAGAAGAAAGTGAGTTGAATTTAAAAAGAAAAAAAGAACTTGATAAGATAAAAGCAAAAGAAGGTAAAAAAATAAAAAAAATATAAATATATATATAAATATTAATAGGAAAAAGCATTTATATAAGTTAATTATGAATTTTTATTTTTTTGAAAATGTAGTATCTTATTTACTTTTAAATGTTTACAGAAGAAGCTTGTTAAACTAAAGTTTATATATTTTAACATTTTTAATTTATTTAGCTTTTTATTATCTACTTGTTTTATTTAATATTAAATAAATATTGTAGATAGCATCTTTTAATAATTATATATTTCTGCTTTTATTAAAGATGAGGAATAACCCAAAATGAAATATCCTTAGTTTTCTTTCTAAAATTTGTTATGTATTTTAAATATATGTGTTTTATGTATTATAAATTAATCATATGTATAAATAAAATGAAAAATTACTTGTAGATAATTTTCAAAATATTGCTTTTTGTTAACCTAATAAAAAGATGTCTCTATTATAATTTAAATGAAACTTTATTTCATTCTTGTCAATTTTATATGAGAAAGATAATTTATTATCCATTTGCATATTCTATAATTTACGTATCTGTTAAATATATAAAAAATATAATATTTTATTATATAAATACGATAAAATCTATTCAATTAACCGAAAAAAAAAAAGAAAGAAAATAATATAGTTTTTCAAAAAAGAGGATATATAATATATATATATTACATACATTTCAACTTTATATTTTAAAAGAATCATTAAAATAAGATACAAAAAAATTTTAAACATAAAATGTTATATAATATTTTTCTTATTGTAATTTTTATGTTTATATTCCATTTATATTTATAAAAATTATTACATTTGTTTTTAATAATATCATTTAATAGTATAATTTTTATTTTTATTTTTCATCAATGTATAGTGTAGCTTTGTTAATACTTTTATGCCAATATATCAATCTTAACAGTAAAATTGTAATAATTGAGTAAATGAAATATGTATAAAATTACCATTAATTACATCATTAAAATAATTTAAATAATATAACTTATGTAACTATATATATTTTAATATTTTATTTACAGCTTATAATCCAATGTTCAATTTATTTTTTATGTTATCTTAATTTTTTGAAGTTGAAAATTTAATTTTATCATAGTTAACTTTTTGCTTTTAATTTTAATAGATTTTTCCAATTTAAATAAGTAATAATTTCATACAAAATAGAATAATTCATTAATTATAATAAGAACCTTAAGCAACATCTACTATTTATCTAAATTTTTTTCTTTAATTAATTAAACCTAACAAATACAGTCCATAAGGTGGTTAATTAAATGAATTATCAACATTATCAGATAAATGTTGTGACGTGAATCTACAAAAATGTGAAATTTGGGAACTTATAAAATTTTTTTTTTTAGAAGAAAATCTAGATAAAAATATAAAAAGAATATATATACATAGTTGTGAACTGAAAAGAATTATATTTTTTACAGAGAACTTCATTTACAACATGTACATATTTATATCTTCTTAATACCTTGTATATACAAAAAAAAAAAATTAAAAATACAGAAATTAAATTTTTTTATTAAAGATGATTAATTTATTAATTCTTCTTTCAAATAAATTAATAGTATATTGAATAATCAAATTAATAAAAAACTTGTAGAATAATAACTACTAATTTTATTCGTTATAAAATAACCTTATATAAATTATATATTAATTTCCTATCCCTTGACCTTTCTAGAGCATTGAACAGATATATTGATAAAGAGCTTTTGTAGCTTCCTCTACTAATTTAGTGAATTTAAGCATAATTTTTCAATGCTATGAACTACTAAACTGTTTTATATATAGTCTACTTCATTGAACATTTCTTGTTTTTAGAAGATATTTATTTACTTTAATAAAAATCTCTACTTTTATTAAAAATTTAATTCCTAATTGAACATTAACTCTTAATTCATATGTGTATTTTATAATGTTATGAATAATGTTTAGGAACTCATATCCGCTGCTTTCAAGTTAGCAAACATAGGCAATTAATGAGACACATTAAATTATATAAATATTACAAACATAAAAATTTTATTATTATATATTGGTGGTTTATTAACTGGGTGTTCGTTACTTTGATAGAGTACTGAACAAACAAATTAATAAAGAGCATGTAGAGTTTTCTCTACGGTTTTGATGTATTTGTATATAATTTAAAAAGCTTTGAACGAGTGATTCTTAATTATGTGATCTACTTCGTTCAGCATTCTTTGATTTCAATAGGCTTTTATTTACTTTAATAAAAATCTTTATTTTTATTAAAAATTTAAATCCTAATTGAATATTGACTATTAATTAAATGTAAATTAATAGTTTATTTGTTACGAATTATATTCAGCAATTTAAACATATTGTTGTTGAATTAGCAAACATAAACAATTATTAACAATACAAATTAATTATATAAATATTAATTACGTGAAAATTTTATTGTTATATGTGTAAAATTTTCTCTTAAAAATTCATTAAAATCATACTTTGTTTTCCAAAAAAAAAAAAAAATCTTTTTTTTTTTTTTATTTTTATTTATTGGCAACAAATATTTTTTCAATTGATTTTTTTTTTATCAATTTTTTTTTTCTATCCTTCTTTATTTTTTTTTTTATAAAAATTCAAACAAAAAAATTTATCACTTTTTTTTTTTTTTTTTTGTGCGTTCATTATGAACGATGTATTCTTCATATAAATTGTTTTTTTATTTTCCAAAAAGATTAATAAAGCCCTTTATTAACCATTTATAGAATGATAGAATTCATTTTAGAGCAATGTAGTTACATGCAGGATAATTAAAAAGCATATAAAGAGATATATGTATGAGAACACATATAATAACTTTTGCATGTAGAGAAATAAAATACAAGATAATTTGTGGTTAAAAGAATATTTTCTCAAATTTAGCAGAATTATGTATAAAATAAATGGTATTGTTAGCATATTCAAAAAAAATATTACGTATGCGTTTTTATTTTTAAAAAAAAAAAAAATTTTTCTTTTTTCTTTTTTTTGGGAGATGTATAAATATAATAATTTTTTTTTTGGTTCTATATGAAAAATTACAAAAAAGTCTTAAAAAGCGCAAATTTTATAACAAATATGTAAAGATTATAATGAATTGATGCATGTATAAAATGTATATAAATATCTATATAAGTTTATTTAATAATAAAAAGAATAAGTAGAAATCATTATGCATACCCTCTATTGACTATTTAAAGCACTATGAAAGTATTTAAAAAGAGTATTAATAGATAATAATAAAATTGAATATAAAATTAAAAAAAAAATAAAAAAATAAAAATATATTTCATTTATTTATTTTATTTTGTGCGCATTTCATATTATAAAAAAAAAAATTTTATTTTTTTTTGGATTTTACTACTCAGACAACCTATGAAATTTTAATAAAAAATAAATGGCAATAATTTTATTTTTTATTTTTTTTTAATAGAAAAAAAAAAATTTCATCTTAAAAACAAGAATAATAATTTTTTTTTTTTTGGTGATGCGATGGATATTACTCTTTTTTTCATGAAAGATTAAATAACATAACTTTAGATATTACATTTGTATTGTATAGAATGGCTAAAACAATTAATAATAGAGTTAAAATTTAATATTAGTTAATAAAATTAAATGATTTATGTAATGATTTGTTTTATTCTAAATAAAATAATTATAGTTATATCTAGACTCCATATATTTAATTTATTTGTTCAACATTAGAAAATTTATTATACGAGAAATTAATAAATCAATATTCTAACGAAATTATTGAATTAATAAATTAATGAATCAAATAACTAAACATATAACAATGTTTAAGTTTATTTCTTAACAACCATTCAAAAAGTTCAATAATTCTGTTTATCACTTTTACATTTTTTTCTAATGTTTTACGTAATTTTCCAGTTTCTTCACAACTATTTTTCTCTCCTATACTCTATTTATAAATATTGCTTCTTTATTCATTATCACCATATTTTTATTAATAAATTAGTGTTGTAAAATTTCCTTATTATTTTTTTCTAACCACCTTTTATGAATATCTTCACAGTGTTTTTTCCATATAATTTTTTGCATTTCTAACATGGGATTTTTAATTCCTTCCTCATACTTTTTTTCTATCATATCTTCATATACGTCTTTTATGTATGTTTTTTCCTTGTTATTCATTTCCAACATTAACTCTATAAACCATTTTTTCTTTTTCCATTTTTCTATTTCCACTTTTTCAATATCTAATATAGCATTCCTACTTCTTTTTTTTTTTATTTCCAATATGATTACATCTTCATCTAAATTTTCTTGTATTTTCAATTCTTCCATCATTGTTTTAAAAAAATATTCTTTTTCTTTTTGCCATTCGTCTTTCATAAATCCTTCTAATAGTGTCATATGTATTTCTATCAAAACTTTTTGTATCAATTTTTCTTTTTTTTTATATTTCTTTATTTCTTCATCTCTTTCTTGTTTCAATTCCTCTATATTTTCATGAATTTCCTTCGCTTCTTTCGCATCATTTTTAGTTATTCTTTCCTTAAGTTCTTCTTCTTTTTCGTATTCTTCCAATAAATTGTTATACCATTCATCCTCGCTATGTAGTATAAACCACATTCTTTGTTTTCTTAGCCATCGTTTCCATATTCTTTTTTGTTTCTCTAGCATAGGATTTTTTCCGGCTTCTATATCAGATATTTCTGATTCTTTTGTTAATTCATCAAATTTTTCGTGTTCTTTTTCCCATTCTTTTTTCAAATTTATAAACCATTCTTCTTTTTTCCATTTCTCTGACATTCTTTTGTTTCTTTCTACACATTTTTTCCATAGATGTTTTTGTTTCTCTATCATCAATGTACTAATGTCTTCTTCCCCTTCTCTCAACCTTGCTAATTTATTTTCTATTTTTTTTGGATATTTTTCTTTATCTTCTTCTATAAATTCTTCTAAACAGATTTCTAAAAATTTTCCTCTACTCAATAACCACTCCTCTTTTCTATATTCCTCCAATATTACCATATATATTTCTATTAATGTCTTCCATTTTAATTTTTTTTTGATTATTATAGAGTTATTCTTTTCATATGATTCCTGTAAACTATTCCTTTCATATTTTATCATTTTTTCTTCTCCCTTTTTGTTAAACTCTGTTAGCGGTTCACAACTTTCTATGGTTTTTTCATTTTCTATTTTTTTTTCTATACTATTTTTATCAATTCTACTTTTATATTCTTTCTCTTCATTTTCATATTCATTCACTAACTTTGTAAACCATTCTTCATTGTTATCATCATCTTTCCACTTTCTACAAATATTTTCACAGTGTTTTTTCCGCATATTGCTTTTTCTTTCTAAGATAACATCTATTACTCTTCCTTGATTCTTTTTTGCTAAAATTTCTTCATTTATCTCCATCATATATTTTTCTTCATTTTTTTTCCATTCTAACATTAACTCAATAAACCATTTTTCTTTTTTCCATTTTTCTATTTCCTCTTTTTCTTTCTCTGATATAATATTCCAACTTCTTTCTCCTTCTATATTATCTAATATGTTTGTTTCTTCGTCCAAATTTTTATAATTTTTTATCACTTCAATGTTTGTTTTAAAAAATTCTTCTTCTTTTTCCCACTCTTCTTTCATACATTCCTCTAATACCATCATATGAATATCTAACAAAATTCTCCTTTCCAAATTTTTCTTCATTTCATTTTTATCTATTCCATTATTTCTTTCTTTCTCTATTTTTTCTTCCTTTGAATTTTCATGTATTTCTTCTTTTTCATATTCTTCTAGCAATTGTACAAACCATTTCTGATTTTTGTATTCGTATGAATGCTCTATTTGCCATTTTATCCATTTCTTCCATATTTTTTTTTTTTTACCTAGAATAAAATTATTTAATCCCAATTCTGTCATTTTTTTAATTTCATGTTCTTCTAAATATTCTAAGTGTTTTTTTTGTTCTTGTTCCCATTCTTTCTTCAAATTAATAAACCACTCTTCATTTTTATATTTATCTAATATACTACTATATTTATCTGTTGCATCGGTATTATTTTCTTCTTTTATTTTCATTACAGAATTATTTCCCATTTCTTTTAAATTAGAATTTTCTCCATCTTTTTCGATCTCTTCTAAACAAATATCAAAAAATTCGTTTTTATTCAATTTCCATTCTTCTTTTTTATACTCTAGTAATGCAGTCATATGTATATCTACCCATGAATTCCAATTACATACATTATTCTTGATTGTCGTTTTATTTCCCAAATTTTTCATTTCAATTTCACATGTAGATTTTTCCTTTTGCGAATTTATTTCATTTTCTTTTTCCTCATTTAATGTGCCATTTCTAATATGCCATACCATATGAACAGGATCTTTTTCTAATATATTTTTATTTAATTCATCTTCATTTTCACTACTGGGTTCATTTCCATTCAATTCCGCTTTTTTAATTTCACTATTAGGATTATCTTCATTTAATTTTTGTTCACTTATAAATTTATTCTCAAACTTATTGGACTCTTCTTCTTTATCATCACAAATGCGTTTATTTTCTTTTTCATTGTATATTCCTTTACGTTCTTTGGATTTTCCCATTTGTTCATATTTCAAATTTCCTTCTCTTTCAAAACTAACCTCACATGGTGGTGTTTGTTTTTCATGTTGTAACATAGAGTGATTTCCACTATTCATTGGTCCATCCTCTATATTATTTGTAGATAATGGTATTGGTTTCTTTGAAATTTTCTTTATCTTTTTTCTTATTTTTTTTTTCCTTGACTTTCGATTACGAATCCAAGATCCAATAGGAGTGCACTATAATTAGAATTAAAAATAAGAAAATTATGAAAATTTTACTAATATAGTTATTAGTATTATATATATATATGTTTTTGAATTTTTAATTATTAATTTCATCTTACTCTATAGAGAATAACTAAAAGGAATATAATTCCTAAAATGAGTATACCTATTGGAGCTATTGTTAATATATTTACTTCAGGATTAATTGTAGGTGTAGGTTCAATATTCTCATCGAATGGAGTTTGTGGGGTAGTACTATTTGTAACATTCATATTCGAAGGACAATTGCTCAAACAATTTGATAATGAAACATTTTGAGCTCCGATTAAAGGTAATTTATTATGTTGAGCAATGGAAGTAAGTGCATTTTGTGAACTTTGTGTTGGGGAATAGTTTGCTTCAGATAATTGTATATCATTATTTGTTGTAGCAGATTCAGTTGTATTACTAGGAGATACATTGATATATAAAGGCGCTAAAGATTTTAATGAGGATGGAGACACAGTATCATTTTTGGGAAGTGCAGCTTTAATTAGAGGAGTAAGTGCCTCCACAGGAGGTTTAGAATTAGGTGCCTCAGTTAATGATTCATTTAAAAAAGGTGCAGTAACATTAGAATTAATTTCAGTAACAGTTATAGGTTGTGCACTGCTAGGAGTGGGAGATTTGAGGATATCTATAGCAGGAGATGCATGGTTATTTGTAGAATGTGTACCATTAAATACAGAAGTATCACCGTTAGTTGTAGAATTAGCAGACCCAGCAATAGGGGATGCAGAAATTTCTGAGGAAGATGAATTGGTATTTTCAGAAAACATGGGTATAACAGATGGTACATTCTCAGGAGAAGATACGGTTTCAGGAGAAGGTGGAGTATGGTTTTCAGAAGATCTAATGATAGTATTAGAATATGTATCGGTATCATTTGTAGGAGAAGGTAAAATTGAAGGATCAGTTTTAAAGTCATATCCATTCGAATTATTTGATGTTAAAGAAATGGGCTGTGGTGGATGTTCTGGAGAAGCAGTAGTTGCAGCTTTTGCAGCCATTGAATCTTTATCTGCATCATTCGGTGATGCTATAGCATTTATGGGACTCTTTATAGAATCACTATAACCTCCCTTAATAGCTTTTGCATCATCATCTAATGAATCTACAACAAAACTAGCATGCTGTGTATCAGAAATTTCCATTGTAGGTTGTGCAATATTTTGTAGTGAATTTGTAGGATCTAAAGTTTCATCAGGTTCATCATGGTCTTCTAAAGGAATCCAAGATAAACTATATGGATCATCTGAATTTTGTCGCTCTTTAATTTGATAAATTAGTGATGTCATATTACAATGATTTCCTGTATCTCTTAATATACTATTTTGCAAGTTATTACTATAAGTGTTCCAAATATTAGTTGAATCTTCTCTAAAAGTTTCTTCGGAATAAAACTCATAGTACACCATATTTACAAATTGTTTTCCTCTCTTATGTATATACATACTCCACTTTCCACAATTAAGTTGATTTTTATTAGCTTCATATTTTTTATAATAGTAATTAGATATATCATTAGTAATACTGGTAAACTTAGTACGTCTATCATAAATAATTTTAGTTTTATTCGATTCATATTGATCCTCATTGAGTTCGTTATATGTTAATGGAATTAAATCTGGTAAATCACTACCTTTATAAGGACTGGTGCAATCATCATTTTTTTTCAAAACAGCACAATAATCAAAATTTTTCAAAGTACATGTTGAATCTGTTTTATCCTGTATTTTTGTCTCGAAAGATCTTTGTTTTTCATTCCAACAATCAACAAGACTTGAGATATTACGATCTGTTTCTTCATTTAATACTAAATTAACAAAGTCCATTCCTCTCCAATTTATATATGTGGATGTCTTTTGACATTTTTCTGTAGCATTACTAATTTCTTCGTCATCAAGATAAAAATTAAGTTCATTATTAGTATCTTCCACAAATGTTTTAATTTCTGTATTGAGTTTACTTTTTTCACTAGAGTTATCTCCATTTTCTTTTGTTTCACCATTTTGTTCACCTAATATACAGGAAGTTTCTTCTGCTTGTGATAAATATCTTGCTTTCTTTAAGATTGATTTTTTTCTCATGATTATAATATCATCATAAAAGGTTTTTTCAAAATATTTTACAGTAGTATTCAAAAATTGATTAATTAAAGAAAAGAAATTTTTATGTGAATTATAGATAAATGCATAAATTTCAAGAAAACCAAAAAGTAATGTATATGTATGTATCTTATACTTTAAATTTATCAAACGTTAAAAAAATATTCGTTAATCCAATTAAGGAAGAAAAATAATTTAATTTGACCAAAAAATTGAATATAGATATTTTTGTTATTTTTGAGCATCATTATACACTTGAATTACATTGAGAAATTGTTATAATTTCTACATAGAAATGACAATACTTGTACTTATGTGATAACTATATTATATATTTGTTTATATTTTAAATTGGCATTATATATAGTATATGATATTACTATAGAGTAACGTGAATTTTTTCTTTACTTTTTGTGTTGAATATTAAATTTTTAATTTCATGTAACAATAATGTTATTAGTTTTCAAATAACAAGAAAAAATATAATTAATAAAACAAAAGTTTAATATATAAAATTAAAATTTAGAAAAAAAAAAAATAAAATAATTGATATGGTAAAACATCATTTTATGTTATGAAATTATAATTAAAAAAAAAATTAATATAAAAAAAAGAAATTATTTTATGTGTTTTTTCTGTGTTTTCTTAGATTTTTTATATAATCATATGATTATGAAGGTAATTTTGAAATAATGATATGATTATTAAATTTTTGTATTTTGAATAAAGAATTTAATTATTATATAATATTTTTACAGCATTTTTTTTTTGAATAGTAACTTTATATAATTGAAGAAGTAAAATATAGCTTATATACAAATAATATAATGTACTTAATAACTTATAATTCTTATTATAAAGGATCTAAATAATATTTTTATAAAATATAAAATATGTAAAAAAAAAAAAACATATATATATATACACGTAAATTCTATAAGTAGTAGTTATAATATAATATTTTAATTATTCATATATATTTTCATAAAAAAAATATTTTAAGTTTAATAGAAAAATGACTTACAATTATAAAAATCTATATTGTTTGTTGTTAAATTATTAAACTTTAAACGCAGATTAAAGTTATTCCAATTTTTTTTTATTTTAATATTTAAATGTTTGTTAACAAATTAGTGCATTATAATTTAGTTATATTTTTGAAGAAATATATATATATTTAAAAAAAAAAAAAAAATGCTAAAATTAAAGTTAATAAGTAATGCACTTATTTTTTCATTATAACTATATTAATCTTTTTGTTTTTTTATTAAGCAATTGTTATTTGGTAATATATATATATATGTACTTGACATTCTTTGAGATATTATTTATTATTTTAGAATTTTTTACTATGAATACAAGAAAATTTAAATTCTTTTCTGATTATTTTTTTTAAAATATTTCTTATAATTTTTTAGAAAATAATAATAACAATAGTTTATTAACAAAAATTTCTTAGAAACAAGATATCATTACACTGAAAAAAAAAATGAATGAAAAGTGTGAGATGAATTTATGAAACTTGATTTTTCTGGATAAAAAACAATAAAAAAAAAAAAAAAATAAAATTTATGATTTTGTTCAATTTTTTTTTTTTTTTTTTTATATTTATATTTATATTTTTACAATATAAATTACAATGAATGATTTACTGAGAAAGTCTGTGAGCAAAGTAAATGTGTTTTATTTTTTTTTAGCATTTTATATGATTTTTATGGGAGTTGATTATTTTTTTCGCAAGAATATTATAGGTGAAACCTATTTTTTTATGAATATTTATGATTATATTTATGGTATTTCATTATTAAAAATTTAATAATAGTATACCATTTTTTATAATTTTTTTTATTTTTATTTATTTATATTATTAAGTTTACATTATTATTAAGAATGAATAAGTATATTAAAAAAAAAAAGAGAAGATAACAGATAAATTAATTATTTGAATATTATGGCATGGTATAAATTTAATAAAAATTTTATTGTTGAATTTTAGAAAATTTATTTGGAATATGCAAGTTGTGAGGAAAAGGGTGAAGATTATGTTTATTGAGTAAAAATTTATTAAGTTTTAAGTTATTAGAAGTTTGTTGGTTTAAATTTTTTGTAACTTTATTTGTTGACTATGGATTAATTAAATTCTGGTTATCGTTATATATTTAGTACTTATTTTTTATGATTATTTATCTTAAAGAAAACAATTTTCTTTTTATTTATTATACATTTGTGCATGTTTTATTAACTGAGCGTTTGGTAACTTTATTAGAGTACTGAACAAACGAATTAATAAAGAGCATATAGAGTTGCCTCTACGGTTTTTATGTATTTGTATATATTTTATATGCTTTGAATGAGTGATCATTATTTACGTAATATACTTCATTCATCATTCTTTAATTTCAATAGGCATTTATTTACTTTAATCAAAATCTTTATTCTTATTAAAAATTTAAATCCTTATTGAACATTAATTATTAATTAATTGTAAATTACTAGTTTATTTATTATGAGTTACATTCAGTAATTAATATATATTGCTGTTGAATTAACAAACATAAACAATTATTTACAAATATCAAAAATTATACAAATATTAATTACATGAAAATTTCATTGTTATATGTATAAAACTTTCTCTTACAAAATTCATTAAAATCATAATTCATTCCCAAAAAAAAAAATATTTTTTTTTCTTTTTTTTTTTTTTTTTTATTTATTTATTGGTAACAAATATTTTTCTAATTGATTTTTTAATCAATTTTTTTTCCTGACGATCTTTGTATTTTTTTTTTTTATCAAAATTTTCTCTGACAATCTTTGTACTTTTTTTTTAGAAAAAAGTACAAACGAAAAAAAATCATCAATTTTTTTTTTGTGTGTGTATGTATGACGAACTTCGTATTCTTCATTTAACTAGTCTTTTTATTTTCCAAAAAGGTTAATAAAGTCTTTTATTAACCATACTCCACGACCATGGGAAGGTAATTGTTATTACTTAAAGTTTGTTATTTTTGGCTTGTCTTATTACATCAAGTCCTTTTTGTACTACATTTTCAATTTGCTTGTCCTGATTATCGTTGATATCACCGTTATGATACTACTCCTTTTATGAATCACTGGATAATCCTTAGACTTTAAATCATGCGTCAGATTTAATTTCCTTTTATTCTTATTTGTAACTTGTATTAAATTGTGCAGTTGCATTTCATATATTTCCCTGGTTTTATTACTCAACAATTTTATTTTTGACATTGGAATTTGTACTTCATTACCTCTATAATATATAGGTAATGTTTTCAGAATTGTGCTTTCAATTTTAGTTACTCTATGAGGAAATTACCAATATGGTTTATATTGTATATTTCTACTGTAGTGTTTCATTTGATTCCTTTCGTATTCCGATAATTCGTAAGAGATAATATCTTAAACCTTAATATTTTTATTCTCAATTATAGGTTTTCTTTTGATTTCATTAACATCTTCATGTATGTTTTTCCATCGATCGTTTATGTATATAATCCTAATTTCTGAAGTTGTTTCTGGTACTAATTTTGCAAACCCTGCAAAAATACCTTCTTTTCCAAACATAACAGAATAGGGTGTCCTTCCAAAGCTCCATGAGGTGTATTATTATATATTAGTACTGCATTTTGTACTATTTCTTCAAAGGGTAGATCTTTTTCTTCATATAAAGTCTTAATGATATAATCTAAGTTTTTATGAGAGCTTTCATATATACCGTTTCCTTGTGGATAATATGGGCTGGTATGATACAATTTAACCTGTAATTCTTTTGTATCATAGTCATGAAATTCTTGACTAGTATAAATTGAATCGCGATCTGTTAAAATGCTTACAGGGCATCCAAATATTGGTATTCATGTTTTCTTAATAATATTAATTGCATCCATAGAATTAGGTGTTTTATTAGTTATGTTCGTTACCATTGAACGTGAATGATTATCTATTGCTACTTGTATAAAGTATTTTGTACCTTTCCATGTTTTAGGTCCTATAATATCTAATGAAACCATAACAAATACATTCGGTTTTGATAAAGCTTGGTTATTATTAGGTTTAAATTTCCTATTACGCATTACTTGACAAACTAAACAATTTGTAACGTATTCTTCAATATCCTTACTAATATTGGGCCACTGGTTAATAAAAGGCTTCATTAACCTTTTTGGAAAATAAAAGGACTAGTTAAATGAAGAATACGAAGTTGGTCATGCACACACACACACACATAAAAAAAAAAATTGATGGAATTTTTTTTTTGAGATATTTTTCTTTTGAAAAATGAAGATACGTAAAAAAAAAAAAAAAAAAAAAAAAGATATTTATTTTTTTTTATGAAATGAATGAAATGATTGTATTGGATAATAAAGAGAGAAAAATTTGTAAAATTAAAATCGAGCGTAAGATTTAGCTGCAATAAAAATAAGAACTTAAGAAGATAATAATGTTTACATAAAAGAGTTTAATTTGCATAATATTTATATTTTTAATTTGTGAGAGAAAATTTTATACATATGACAATAAAATTTTCACGTAAGTAATATTCATATAATTTATTTACATTTTTACTAATTGTTTATATTTGTTAATTCAACAACAATATATTTAAATTGCTGAACATAACTCATAATAAAGAAACACGTAATTTACATTTAATTAATAGTCAATATTCAATAAGGATTTAAATTTTTAATAAAAATAAGGATTTTTATTAAAGTAAATAAATGCCTGTTGAAATTAAAGAATGCTAAATGAAGTAGATTACATAATTAAGGATCACTCGTTCAAAGCATTTATAAATATATATAAATAAATCAAAACCGTAGAGGTAACTCTACATGTTCTTTATTAATTTGTTTCTTAAGTACGTTAGTAAAGTCACCGAACACCCAGTTAATAAAACAATACTCTAGTAAAGTCAACAAACATCCAGTTAATAAATCAAGCACTCACATAACTAACTACGTGTTTTCCGTATAAATAATTATTTTTATGCTCAGCAAGGTTAATAATTTCTTTTATTAACAGAATATCTAATAAATCGCGTACTTTCTTTAATTTATTTTAATTATTTGTTTGGAATTTACACAGTCCTATACAATTTTCATTGTTTTGTAACTTATTAACAGTTGATTGACTTTTTCTAATTTTATAAATATTTTACTCTTCCCTTATTGCTTTTCATAATTCCTCATTTTTACCTATACTGTTAATTCTATTTCTTTTTGCTACAAGTTCTTCATTTTTTTCTTTTCTAGACTATTTTTTTACTTTAGTAAAAATCATTATATTTTTATTAAAAACATAAACCTTCCTTAATTATTAGTTTTCATGTAGAAAACATTTAATTACTATTTCTAACGATTAGTGTTTAAAAAATCAAGTCAATTCTTTAAAATAATAAAAATACATACTTAAATTATTACTGAAAACAATGAAAATTTAATTTTCAAAAATAGAAAATTTTCTTTTACTAAAATATTAAAAAAAAAATTTGAGAATTTTTTCTATGAAATTCACACTTATTCATATTCAAAAAAATAATTAATAATTTATATTAAGAAAAAAATATATATAAAAAACATCAACTATTTTTTATTTTTCATTTATTTTTTTTAATTAGCTTCTGCATATGGATAAATGTATATTTTCCACATTGTAATTTATCATCAAAAAAATTAATAAGTCCTTTTATTAACCATATATATATTATCTATTGCCATAAATGTTATTTTTACACTAGTATGATTATTTCATATACATTATTATAATAAAAATGAAATATATATTATTTATTTTTATTGAAGTAACTATGATAATACGTGTATATAAATGATTATTTATGTATTATTTAGCCTTTGTGAATTGGTATATAATTGACTGCATTATCTAACTATTAATTTATTAATGTTACAATTGCCAAACAATAGTTATAATTTTTTTTACTTTATGAACATTACCTTACTTTTAATAATTACAATAAATTTTTCATTTAATGGACTATTATTTGGATAATTTTAATTTATAGATATACAATACATATATTATTTGAAATATTTTAATACCATGAAGCAATATGTATAAATGTAAGATAATATTATATTTCACATATTGTTGGAAAAATGGCATTTATGTATTATATTAAAAAAATATAAATCATAAAAACTCACTTTTATTAAAAATACGACTATTTTTTAAAGTAAAATGAGTGTTAATATATTAGGAATGTAATATTTATTCATATACATTTTTATTTATGTTATATCAAATATTCTTACAAATTAAATTAAAAAGATAAAAGTTCTTAATAAAATTCTTTATTAATGATTACAAAGATGTCTTATAGCACTTAAATATTTTAGAAGAATATAAAATGTGAAAGAGACAATTTCTGAACTCTTTTTTATTATATAAATTATTTGTTAATTGTTCATTCAGTGATCATTCTAGTATGGAAAAAACAAATTAATAAAAATCATGTAGGAAAAGTTTTATTCATTTTATCTTTATTATATTATTAACATTTATTAATTATATCAAATATTAAATGCATGAATTAATTACTATTGTTGTTAGTTTACACTTTATCTCATGTATGTCTCATTTGATATTATATACTTAATTTTTTATAAAAAAATAAAATAATAAAATATATAAATATTTTTTTCATATCTTGTTCCTTTTTAGAGCAAGGATATTTTTTTTTAGATGCATTTACTTTTAGAGCAACTGTTTTTATTAAACATATTTAATTTTAGTGATAGTATTTTTTTTTTAAGATACTTACTTTCTTCATGCTATCATGTATGCCTATTTTCCTTGCAATATGATATATACAATTAAAAATGTTTTTTCTATATTTATCTAAATATTATACAAAATAGGTCGATAATATTATTTATAGTCTAATAATTGAGTTACTTAGATTTTATGAGAAAGATAAGGAAAAATAAAAGAATAGCAATAAAAATGTTTACAACTAAAATATAACAAAATAAAAAATGAAATAAATACATTCTCAATAATATTAAGTTATCGATTTTGTATAAAAAGGCTGAAAAAAAAGGCACATAACTTTTTTTTTTACATTTAAATATAAGGTAATGATAATGCACATGCAAAAGGATATGTTATAATTCTGTTTTATATTTATTTATTGATACTTTTAGTATCATAATGAATATATATTTTCTTGTATTTTCTAGGAAAAAATTCATTATATTTAATTAAAGATATATCTTTTTAGTTAATATAATAATTAAAATTTTTATTAAATTTAATGTTTGTACCTATGATTATTAGTTATAAAAAAAGAAATTTTATAAATATATATTTTTACAATATGTTTCATAATAAAAGGAATTTTCTTCACAGTTTTTAGAATAATTAAAAAAGTAAATTTGCCAAAAAATAAATAAACTTTTTCTCAAAACATATTTTTTAGTGCATACATATGATTAAAAAAATAGTTTTTTTTTATTTTAAATTGTAATTAATTTAGAGTGCTTTTTTATGTGATATATTATTATAATTTCTTCAAAATAGATATGTGTTCACTTCTTCTTTTTAATTTGTGCATTTTATATTTTTTTTTTATTTTTTGAGAAGTAATTGAAAAAGGAAATTTTTTTAAAAAATAATTATGTATATATATATTATATTAACATATATTAATAACAAAAATAAAAAGAAAACATAAAGATACAAAAAATATAAAAGAAAAATTAAAATAGTTACATTTAAAGAATAAACATGCACAATTAAAAATTAGCTTAATATATAATTAAAAATGACTACAAATATAGTATACTGTATGAAAAATACATGCATAGAAAAATTTTTAATTTATCGTTTTTTTTTTTTTTTTTTTTGATGGAGATATAATATATCTAATATATCTAAATTTATATCTACAAATAACAAATACCATATATAAAATAATTTAAAGTTTAACGTGATTCGCAGAAAAAAAAATAATAGATAAAAAAAAAAAAAAAATAATAAAAAATTCATTGGTATTAAATATATAACATTTATAATTTTAATTTATTTCAAATTAACATTATATAATTTTTTTATCTACTTTAAGGATGAATATAATTTTAATGAAAATATTTTTAAAATAGCTTTACATATTTTAAAATTTTTTTCTTTAACCTATAAATATACGATCTTATTTATATTATTTTTTGAAAAATTAATAGTATTAATCTTGCACATAGTAAATGTAATATTATGTATATTTCTGAAAAATTCGGAATTATATTTCATATAAAAAAATAATTTTTTATCTTAAAAACTTATAAAATTTACAAAGGTCACAATAATACCTAAAGCAATATTACATATCTCTAACTTATCATTAGTAAAGATAGAAGCAATATTGTAACTGGATTAATATCTCTCACTGTAATATTACTCTAAAATAGTATTAAAATGAAAACATTTACTTTATATTTAAAATTTTTTATATTTCTTCTTTTAATTTGGATATTCCATTGCTTTTATAACGTAAGAAAACATTCATATAAAAAAAAACACATATAAATATATTTTATTTCTAATAATTTATAAAATTTTACTCAATTTATTACTATAACAATTGAAAAAAAATTTTGAACAATTTTTATTTAATCCCATAGTATGATTCCAGTAAGTCTTTGGTTAATAAAGATAAATTACAAACAAAAATTGGGTTAAAACACGAAAGAACGTTAGCAGAGGTTGATATATCAGAAAAAAAATCATCTTATATTGATAAACATACAGAACATTATACATCTGGTGATATGGATATTAGACTTGATGAGATGGTTTATTTAATAGGCATGTATTTTAAATGTTATAACGCTAATATTAAAAAAGACCATGCAATAGATGCTTTTTTTAAGGAAGAAAATAAAATGATATATAAATGTAGAGATAAAATATTGAATGCTTATCGAAATATTATTTTATCCTTAATGGAATTAGAAGCTTTTAACGGACTCATTAGTATCGTATTAGGAATGAAAAAAGAAAAAAATTAATTGATAGAATTTCGGAAAATCTTCATTTATATTATAAAATATTTTTATGTCAATAAAAAGAACAAAAATAAAATAAAAAAAAAAACAATAAATAAAAAATTAAAAACTAAAAAATTGGATAAAAATTGACTTTGTTAACCTTTATTAAAATAAAAGTTAATATATGAAAAGAAAATACTTAATAAGTCATGCACAAGCGCTAGTTAAAAAAAATCAATATTTTGCTTTACATATTTTTATAGAATTATATTTTATTTTCTTTAAAGAAAAAAAAAAAAATTATTAAAAGAGAAAAAATTTTTTAGGAAGAAATATTTTTATGAGAATATATTGTATTTTTGAAAGTAAAATTTTCTCTGTTAGTGATATTAATGTAATTTATATTTTCTTTGCTCTTTTAAGAAAAGAGAACTTCAATAAATGATAATTATTTATTAATAGTTATAAATGAATATTTAGTACTTAAAAATTAATGTTTAATGAAAATTTCTGTTCTTAATAAAAACATAAGATTTTTATTAAAGTAAATAAATTCTCAATGAGATACTTAATTTTCAGTTTACAGGTTTATAATATCGAAATTATATTTAAATTAATTAAACTGGTAGAGAAAGTTCTACATTTCCTTGATTAATTTTTCTATTTATTACTTGATATATTAATTACTCGTTCAATGACTTTAGTAATATTAAAAAAACAAAATAATAAAGAACACATAGAGAAAATTTTACTCATTTTCTTTTTTTTTAATTAAACTATAATAAAAGTTATTCACTTTTAATAATTAATATAAAATAATAATTGAGTTATTTAATTATTATTGTTATTAATTTACACAATATGCCATGCATATCACGTTTTTACATTGTATTTTTAATCTCCCAAAAAAATATATTCTAGATCATCTCCATTAAAAAAAAAAAAATTTTCTTTTTATGATAATAAATTATTTTTAAAAAAAAATAATAAAAAAAAAATTATTGTCAAAAGAAAATAAATTATTTTTTTTTTCCAAGTTAGTGTTACAACAAAAAAAAAAAATAATAAAATATATCTATATTTTTTTTTCTTATATTTACTTTTAGAGAGAGTAATTTTTTAAGTGTACGCATTTATGTGTTCAACTTTTCGCAGCATACTAGCATGCTGATTTATTAACTGGGTGTTTGGTGACTTTGACAGAGTACTAAAAAAACAAATTAATAAAGAGCATGTATAGTTGTCTCTACGATTTTGACGTATTTATATATATTTTTAAATAATTTGAACGAGTGATTATTAAATATTTGATCTACTTCGTTCAGTATTCTTTATTTTCAATAGCCATTTATTTACTTCAATAAAAATCTTTGTTTTTATTAATAATTTATATCCTTATTGAATATTATTATTAATTAAATGTATATAGCTTATTTCTTTGTTATTATTTATGTCCAGCAATTTAAATATATTGCTGTGAATTAACAAAGCATAAACAATTAGTAAAAATACAAAATTAATTATATGAATATTATTTACATGAAAATTTTTAATTTCTAATTATAAAATTTTCTCTTACAAAAAAAATTAATATCAAAAAATTAATAAAAAAAATTATAAAATAATATATTTAAGTAAGTATCTTTTTTGTTTTTAATATCTCATTCTTAGTGGTAACAAACCTTTTTTTAATTGATGTTTTTAATCCATTTTTTTCTGGACATTCTTTTTTTTTCTTAAAAAAAAATATATATATATTTTTTTTTTATGTCCTCTTATTAATAAAAATAAAAACAAAAAAAAATTGATAATTTTTGTTTTTCTTTTTTTTTTATTTGCATATGAATAACCAACTACGTATTCTTCCTATAACTAGTCCCTTTTATTTCCAAAAAGGTTAATAAAGCCTTTTATTAACAAATACCTTATTACCTATTTATTATCTAAATAATTAAAAATTCTATAATATGTATGCATTTATCTTTTTGCTTGTATCTTAAGAGAATCTTATCCATTTGAAAAATAAATTGGATTTTATTTTTTTTTGTAGGAAGATTATCTAATTATCAGTTTTATGAAATAGTACATAGGACAGGTTAACAATGTCCTGCTTAATACTTCTTAACATTTTATTAGGATTTTGTTTTATTAATTCGCTATTTAAGTAATTATGTTAATTAAACTATCAAATTAATTAAGTTTTACAAAGTTCGCTATTAGATTTTTGGTCCACTGTTTTCTATAGATTATAAATTATTTATATATAATTATGTTAAATAAAGTAAAATGAACCATTTATTTCATATAAAATTTAAATTCCTTGAATATTCGTTGATAAAAGGCTTTATTAACCTTTATGTTAAAAAAAAGAACTAGCTATATGAAGAATACGTAGTTGGTCACGAACACGAAAAAAAAAAAAAAAAAAAAAAAATTATTGAATTTTTTTTTTATTTTTCTTTTAATAAATTGGAAATACATAAAAAAAATATATTTTTTTTTTCAAAAATATTTAATGAAAGAAGGAAAAATGGTAAAATAAAAATCGGGAGTAAGATTTGTTACCAATGAAAATGAGATCTTCAAAAGATAAAAGATGTTTACATATAAAAGAGCTTAATTTCCATAGTATTTATATTTTTAATTTGTAAGAGAAAATTTTATACTTATAATAATAAAATTTTCATGTAATTAATATTTATATAATTTATTTGTTTTTGTCAAAAATTGTTTATGTTTGTTAATTCAACAGCAATACATTTAAATTGCTGAACATAACTCATAACAAAGAAACAAATAATTTACATTTAATTAATAATCAATATTCAATAAGGATTTAACTTTTTAATAAAAATAAGGATTTTTATTAAAGTAAATAAATGCCTATTGAAATCAAAGAATTCTGAATGAATTAGATTACATAATTAAGGATCACTCGTTCAAAGCATTTATAAATATATATAAATAAATGAAAATCGTAGAGGTAACTCCTCATGCTCTTTATTAATTTATTGGTTCAGTACTCTGGCAAAGTCACCGGGCATCTAGTTAATAAGTCAATACTGTAACAAAGTCACCGAACACTCAGTTAATAAATCACTTTATTAATATGTTTGCTCAATACTATAGGAAAGTTATGGAATAAGAAATAAATAAATTAATATTTCAACTGAAAAATTAATCATTTCAAAAAGAAAGTAAATATATATTTTTTTTTTTTTTTTGTATTTAAATATTAGAAAAAGAAAAAAATGAAATTAACAATTCATTTTTTTTTTTTTTTTTTTTTTTTTTTTTTTTTTTTNGCAAAGTTATGGAATAAGAAATAAATAAATTAATATTTCAACTGAAAAATTAATCATTTCAAAAAGAAAGTAAATATATATTTTTTTTTTTTTTTTGTATTTAAATATTAGAAAAAGAAAAAAATGAAATTAACAATTCATTTTTTTTTTTTTTTTTTTTTTTTTTTTTGCATCTAGAATTTGCATGTATAACTATATATTTTTCACACAACTATTACCGTTTATTCTCAAAAAGGTTAATAATACATTTTATTAACCAACATGAAATTGCTAAGTAAAAAAAAAAAAGAAAAAAATTAGTTAATGCTTTTTTTTATTTTTGTAATTTAAATACATAAAAAAATAAATTTTTTTCTTTTTTTAAAAGAAATTTAGTTATCGAAAAATAGAAGAAAAAGTTATTGAATAAGAAAGCTTATTGTGGTGTATTTTCATTTAAATTAATATAAGAAAATTTTATATTAACTATAATATAATTTCTGTGTTTTGTAGTACTTACGTAATATAATTTGAATTTTTTCAATTATTTATGCTTGTTAATTTTAGAGCAATAAATTTGAATTGTTAAATATAAATCATAATATAAGTAAAATAAATGTAGTTAATGTTTTATTAATTTCCTCTTCATTACTTTGCTTGAGTATTGAAAAAAAGGATTAATAACGAGCATGTAAAGTTTATTCTACCATTTAAATGAATTTAAATATGTTTTAAATACATTAAACCATTGAAATGTATATGATCTCCCTCATTGAACATTTATTGTTTTTAAGAGGAATTTAATTATTTTAATAAAAATCCCTATTTTTATTAGAAATTTAAATCTTTATTAATTATAGTTTTAAATTACATATATTTTACTTATAACGTTATGATTAATTTTTAACAATTAAAATTCACTTCTCGCGAATTAGCATATATATATAACAAAACACAAAATAAGTTATACAATACTACAAACGCGAAAATTTTATTATTGTTAATATAAAATTTTCTCTTTAAATTTCAAAGATAAAAATTTTCCACGAAAAAACATCTTATCAATTTTTCTTCTATTTTTTAATAACTTGAATATTTTTTTCACACTATTCAATACTTTTTTTCTTCATTTATCTAGTACTTTCATGTCTATTTATTTTCCTTACAGCTATTAATTTTTATCTCAAAAAGGTTAATAATTCTTTTTATTAACAAACCTTTAACTCTAGTAATTCTCAATAAAGACTTTTTTTTTTTTATCTTTTTGTGTCCTTTTTTTCTTATGTAGATAAGCTGGTAATAGTTCTGAATCCAACTTTTTTTCTTCTATTTTATCCTCTACATTTACTACCTGATTTATTTACTTTCCATAAATTACATTTTTAATTTATTATGTTATCATTGGATGAATTTGCTAGAGTAATGAAAAACAAATTTTTAAAAAGAATATGGAGTTTTCTCTAGTAATTAAAGGGATTTTAAATCTAATATTAATGTTATAAACAAATAAACTGCAATAATGCGGTTCATTGTGAATTTACTTTGATAAAAATTATGTATTCTTATTAAAAACATATATTCTCATTAATTATTAATTTTTAAGTGCAAAATAATTACTGCTTTTTATAAGTAATTTTCAGTAATTTAAGTTCACTGCTTTTAAATATAATAAAAATACATAAATAATAAAAAGAAAAATTTAATTATATTAATACCACACAACGAAAATTTTATTCTTAAAAATTAAAAAATATTCTCATGAAATTTTTTTTTTCTAAAAAATTTTTCTCTTTTAATTTTTTTTTTTTTTTTAAAAAATAAAATATATTTCTATAAAAAAAAAATTTAGATAAAATATTAATTTTTCTTTATTTTAACTAGATCTTGCGCATGAATAATCCTATATTCTCTGTTAAGACATTAATTTTTATTTTCTTAATGGTTATCAAACCTCTTAAAAAGAAATTTCAAAATATTTGATTTCTTATTTTTTATTTTATTTTTTCCCTTTTCATTCTTAGATTCGGATTCTGTTTTATTGTCTGTCATCTCATTCTTAGATTCGGATTCTGTTTTATTGTCTGTCATCTCATTATTAGATTCGGATTCTGTTTTATTGTCTGTCATCTCATTCTTAGATTCGGACTCTGTTTTATTGCCTCTCATCTCTGTCTTACATTCGTCTAAAAATTTCACGAATAGTTTGTAGATTTCCTTCTCAGCACAATCAATTAATTTTTCTTTTTCTTCTTCTGAAATATCACTTCGATGAAATATTGAAGATAGTTCTTTAACTTTGTTAGCTGAAATTCTATTCCATTCATTATTCCATTTTTCGTCTCTCCATTTATGGTCCATTTCACTTGTCTCTTTTTTAAATTGCTCCCACAAATATGGAGTAGTATCTCTCTGCCATATATCGTACGGATTCTCGTATTGAACCGGATTTTTCCTATTTTTTTTTTTTTTTTCTTTATCTAATGAACATTCTTCTAGGAATCCTTCAGCGTAATTTTTCTTTTTTTCTTCTATGTCACCCTCTGTTAATACTCTTTCATATTTTAACTCATTTTTTATTTGCAATATATTTTTATCAATCAAAGTTTTATAGGAAAAACACTATGGATTAAATAAAAATTTTTTAAAAGAATGTTTCTTTTGTTAGAATAGTAAATTAAATGGAATGATAAAAATAATTAAAATAAAATATATCTATATGTATATTTTTTGCAAAAATTTTAACTTACGTTATGAAAACATAGATACATCCAAATTAAAAGAAGGAATGTAGTAATTTTTAAAAATAAAATTAACCTTCTCATATTAATATATTTATAGATTAATACTGATGTGGAAATTGTTAATTCAGGTTTAAAATTGTTTCAATTTTTAATAATACTAAATTAAGGATTTATAATATTAATTTAGATATTATTATAACTTATATTATTTTCTTTAATTATTAAAATAAAAAATTATTTTCATGCAAGAAATGCAATTTCTAATTTTTATTATTACACATGATATTATGGTTACATTAGATAGGAATAATATTCTTAATTCTTTAAAAAATAAAATAAGAATGTTAATTTACGAATAAATAAAAAATATAATAAATCGGATAAAGTTATTTTAAAAATATTTTATTAAAATTATATTTATCTTTAAATTATGTAAAAAAAGAAAATATTTTTAATTTAATTCACATAAAAATTATAAATGATATACATTTAATGTTAAAGGATTTTTTTTATTTTTTTTTTCTAAATTACTAATCTCTGTGAATTATGTCGAACTTTAAATTATTTTATATACGGTATATTATGATTTATAAATATAAATCATGGTATATTATAGAGATATATCTCCATCAAAAAAAGAAAAAAAAACTCTATAAATTAAAAATTTTTATACGCATGTATTTTTCATACAGTATACTACATTTATGACAATTTTTCACTTAATATAATACTAATTTTTGTTTGTGTATATTTTTCTTTTAAATATAACTTTTTTCATTTTTCTAATATACATTTTTTTATCTTAATTCTTTTTTTTTTTATTTTTATTATTGATAAATGTTTATACAATGTAAGTATTTATTTATTTTTTGTTATAACTATTTTTTAAGAAAAATTACTTTTTCAACTATTTGAAAAAAAATAGAAAAAATTTATTAAGTACCTGAATTCAAAAGAAAAAGTGAAGATAGGTATTTATTTTTAAGAAATTATAATAAAAAATCTTATAAATAGCGCATTTAAAAGTTATATAAATTAATTACAATTTAAAAAAAAAAAAAAAATGCTATTTTTTTAATAACATATTTAAAGTAAAAAATATTTTTTAAAAGAAATTATTTTTTTTGACAAAATTGCTTTATTCTAATAATATATTTCTGTAAATTTACTTTTTTACTAGTAATACTTATTAGTTTAAATTTTAATATAAATATTATTTACTGAATATAAAAATATATCTTTAGTTAAATTTAATAGATTTTTTCTTATAAAATTCAAAAGAAAGTATTTTTATCGTGATATAAAAAATATCAATAAATAAAGATAAAACAAAAATATAAAATAACTTTTTGTATATATATTATTATAATCTTCTAATTAAATATAAAAAAAATAAATTTTTTTTTTTTTTTTTACCTTTACATATTTATTTGATAAGTGTTTATTATTATTACAATATGCTTATTTTCTTTTTTATTTTTAGTTTTATATATTTATAGCACAATTTTTTATTATTCATTTTACCTACGAAATTTAGGTAAATCATTTATATAGTATAAATGAATTCAACAATTGTCCCTAACTAATATAACTTTTTTCTTAAAAGTTTAAATTTTATAAGACATCTTTGTAAATATTAATGGAGAATTTTAGTAAGAATTATTATTTTTTAAATTTAATTTGTTAGAATCTTTGACGTATTTTAATAAAAAGTGGTGTGTATAAATACTATTATTTTTAATATTTTAACACTAATTTTTCTCTAAGAAATTATCATAAATTTAATAAAAGTGAATTTTTTATGATTTATATTTTTTTAATGTTATATGTAAAAGTTGTTCTTACAAGTACAAATATGTAAAATATAAGTGTCTTGCATTTAACATAGATATTACATGATATTAAAATAATTTGAATAGTGTATGTATTGGAGATATAGAAACTTAAATTATCCAAATAACAGTTCATGAAGTATTAAAATGATTATAATTACTATAAATAAGATAATATTCCTAAGGAAAAGAAATTATTTATAGCTCTGATTTATTAATGGCTGTTAAATTACTTTCCTCGTGTCAAAGAAATAAATTAATAAGGAAAATGTAGTGTAAACTCTACTTAATTTTAATATAAATTTTTTTTTTTATTAATAAACATTTAATATAACTTATTAGTTAATTATTTTTTTTTTAATATAAGCAACTCTCCAAAATGTAATTTCCTTAATATTACATTTTAGCTTAAAATAAAAATATACATTCTATAGTAGTCTGCACATTATCCTTCAAAAAAAAAAAAAAAAGAAAACTAATTTTTTTTCTTAAGATTATATTTTTTTTTTTATAATTAAAAAAATATCATCATAATATATATTTTTTTTTAAGTGCACTCACATTAAGTCCATGTAAATATATACATATATTTTTTGGTTACATACCTTTTGAATATCTATTTTAGAGCAGACATTTATCATAGCAGATTGTCCTTGCGATTTAGCATGCAAAAAATAAAATGTTTTTATTCTACTTATTTGTGAAAATATTATACAAAGAAGGTCAATTGTATTGTTTATAGAGCTATGTATAACTGGTTAATAAAAGGCTTCATTAAACTTTTTGGTTATAAAAAGGACTATCTATGTGAAGAATACGTAGTTGGTTTTGCTAACTAAAAAAAAAAAAGATATTTATTATTTTTTTTAAATGATATATTCAGAGAGGAAAAGAGAAAATTGGTAAAATAAAAATCGAGAGTAAGAATTAGTACTAATAAAAAGGAGATTTTAAAAAGATAATAACGTTTTCATAAAAGAGCTTAATTTGCATAATATTTATATTTTGAATTTGTGAGAGAAAATTTTATACATATGACAATAAAATATTTGCGTAATTAATATTCACATAATTTATTTGAATTTTTACTAATTGTTTATGTTGGTTAATTCAACAGCAATATATTTAAATTGATGAACATAACTCATAACAAGGAAAAAAGT